CAGGCAATTAATTAAAGCATCCATATATATGCGAGCATCTACATTTTAAGTGGAAGCTAAATTCACACTGATGTGGTAGAGTCTGACGGATCAATGCCAGATAAAGGCACTCTGTGACAGCAATAGGAAGCTGGCAAGTGAGGAGATGGGTCTTCCACATGTTTCAGATTTAAAACTGGGTGCCTAGAATCCCTGGGCAGGGGGATCACCCTGTCCCTGGAGGCCAGGAAGGGAACTGGGGGCTTACCTGGCCGGGGCTAGGCTCCCTGGGTGCCCCTGCGACGCTCCTCCGACCTTCCACATACACGACTTCACAGCAAGCCTGGTCCTCATTGTGCCGGCTCTTGCCAGCGTTGATGACCCTGCCAGGCCAGAGTGACCACATCAGGTTGGACACCAGACCAGGCCCTGGAATAACCCCCATCTTAGACATACACACTCTCTCTGGCCTGCTGGCCAAGCTGAGAAAGGTCATAGCCACCTGGGATCCAGGCCAGAGGGAGGAGGAGGAGGGAGACAGGGCAAGGCACAGGGAGTTCTGTCGGGGTGTCAGGCCCCACCGCCGAATCGGAAGGCCGGCAACAGCACTTGCCTGCCGCCAGTCCGATCCCTGGCTAAGTGGGCCTCCCTAATGGTGTTGCGGGGAAGCGGCCTGCCGGCGGCATGAGGTGCTACTTCCTTGCTACCCACTCCCCACCTCCCACCCGGAAACCCAATCAATTCTCCCAGTGCCTAGTCCACAGCATAGCACCCTCATAGGCACACCCACCCTTATCCTAAAACCACCCAGTGAAAGTTTCTGCTGCTTTGGAAATGAGGAAGTGCTCCAGCCCAGTTCCGGAAAGAGGAATTGAAATAGGGTAGGAGTGGAGCCCACCTGGACTGCGCAGGAGTCCTGTAACCACCAACTCTTCCAAAACAGGAAGCTAAAGAGATGGTGGTGGGGCCACGGGTCCATCAGCCACCACCCTCGGCGACATCAGCACCCCCATCTCTCTCAGTGCTCCGTTTTCCCAGCACAGGTATTAAAAATACACTTCGCCAGAGAGCAAGCGGGCTGCTCCCACCGGGGGTCCACTTCCTTGCCTGGCCAGCGCAAGTCCACCCACGGACGGGCGTTCAAAGGGGACCCTCTGCTTCCCGGGACGGCCCCCGCCCCCGCCCCAGGGGAAGCCAGCGGCCGCCGGGTGTCGCGGGCTATTTCTGGGTGTGGAGGGGGAGGGGAACGATAAGAGGGACAGGGAACTGGGGCGCGGTGGTCGGGAAGTCCGGGACCGAGTCTTCCAAACAGCCATCTCCTCTATTAAAAGAGACCTCCCGCTCCTTGAAACCCTTCCAACCTTAGCCATTAAACTGCCGGGCCGCGACTGAGAACGGGCCAACTCATCCTATGGGGGGCCTTACACCCTCCGGGCTCTGGGAGGGAACGAGGTCCCTGAGGCGGCGCGGGTGAGGGTAGTCAACGACCTGGGAGGTCCTGAAGAAGGCTGCACCGACCTGAGAAAGGGCTGGGAGGAGGTGCGGCCCGCAGCCCAGAGGGTAGAGAGAGATCTGGGAAAAGAGAGCTCCTGGCACCGAGCGCAGCGAGGGGGACGCACCTCAGCTCCCGGGATGCCTAGGTGGGGAGGGGGGTGGGGGTGGGACTCCCATCCTAATTAGGGTGCCCCCAGGGACGCTCACTCGGCGTAGCCCGTGCTCCAGGGCAGGCGACGGCCGGTGTCCGGGGGACTTTGCACAGCCCGGCCGGCGTGGTCATCGGCGCGACGCAGCCCCCCCGGGCTCAGCTGCAGAAAGGTCGGTCGGGAGAAGCTCGCTCGAGCCTCTGCTGTCTTTGCGGGCGCCGCGCTCCCGCTTCCAGCCTTCGCCGTAGGGCTCATGGGCGCTTCTGGAGGGGCGGCGGGCAGCGCCGATGTCGCGTTGGGCTGGTCGGGAGACTTGGGGCGCGGGGGCGGGGCGCCCCCGGAGCTCACCAGGTGCGCCACGGCTGAGCGCACCCGGTTTAGCATGCTGCCTCCCTGCCCCGCCCTCGGCCGTGGCCCCGCCCCCTAGGGCTCGCAGTGGGCGGTGCTCGCTCCCGCCCGCTCTCTCCGGCCATTGGCTCCCGACGGGCGGGGCGGGTCCCCGGCTAAGCTTCCTCTTGCTGTGGGCCACCCCGGAACCGCCTCCCCGGCTCAAAGCCTTTTCCCGCCCCGTTCCGCCTTCGCCCCGCCTCCGTTTCTTTCGGGAACGCTCGAACTGATGTTGTGAGAAGGGGAAGGAGGGGAGGAAAGCCTATTTCAGCTGTTCTCTAGATTAGACATCAGGTAGAACCTTCCCATTGTGACGGGAGGGTGGTGTTTCCTTGCCCTCGGTTCGCTGTTGGCCTGCCTATCCGAAGAGTGATGGGGCTGATGACCTCGAGCGAAGCCAGCCGCTTCGGGACCACGGGTGTGAATCACCTGGTGTGACAACACCTCTGGCTGGGGCAGCTGGAGTGAGAGTGAGGGCGAGCGAGCTGGGTGTGATGTTGTCCGGAGCCGATCACCCTGAGCTAGGGAGCTGCAAGTTCCCGGGCCCCGTGAAGACCACCTCGGTCTGGAAGAGCGGTTGTCATTCCTGCCCCACTTACTTTCTCAGGACCCTATTTCCCCCACATTTAGACCTTCCCTGACCACAGAAGTACTCGTTAGTAATGATAACAATACCATATTTAGGACTTATACTACTTAGTATGCCCTCTGCAAAGTATTTTCCAAAGATTAGGCCATTTATTTATACCACACACCAAGCCTTCAAAGTGGGTTTTACTTTATTTCTTTTTACCGATGGCGCTCCTTTCATTTTATATGACTTCCCCGAAGAGGTCACACAGCCAATTTAAAATTCACACCCATGTTAGTCCTTGGACGCCCAAACCCAACTCTGTCTTGAGAACCAAGCTGATTTGTCGAGATCAGGGAGGAAGGGTTAAGAAGGTGGTGGATGGTAGAGAGAAGAGCGGGGGTTCCTCCTCCCCTACCCTCGCTCTTCAAGCCTCTTCAGGCAGAGGCTGCAGTCTGGGGATGCTGAACAAGTTCTGTGTCCGCCGCCAGGGGGAGGCAGAGACCAGGTTAAGCTTCCTGCCGGGAAAGGGACCGTCGTATGGAAGTTAATCGCTGGGCCTCCAAAGACACTTACTACCCCTCCCACAGTCGGACAAGGGCATAGTGCTCCTAATGCAAGTCAGTGATAGCACCCAGTTCATGGCTGGGACTCCACCTCTAGACTCTGTGGGCAGTGTGGTTCCTGACAATAAAACTCTGTTCAGAGGCTAAACAACAGTGCCCCCAGAAGGGTGGATTTCCTGGAAGCTTCCAAATAAAAATCTCATAATGATCATTCCATTTTCTACACTTTTTGTAATTATGCCTGCCCTCTGGGCAGAGAGAGCCAAAGGAAAAGAAGTTGCACACACACACGAAATCATTCCAAAGGCACGTAGTGGCACAGGGAGACAGGCGAATAAAGAACGTGCTACTGTTATGGGTATTTCCTTCCTGCTTGAGAAAAACTAGAACCAACGCACAGATTAATGGCATAAACAGCAGCAGCAAGCCAAAGACTTAAGAAAAATATATATATAACAACCTGGCTATTTTTATTATTCAGTGTTTCTGGGACAGTTTGCTTACCACTTCTCTGTGTCGCCCAGCTCCCTAATCCCTGCTCTTTGCAGCACCCAGCAGGGTGTGGCTGCAAGTGGGCCACAGAGCCAGGGCCCGGACACCCAGTTCCAGCACCAGATGGTCAGCGGGGATGTCAACACCTCTCTCAGGCTCCAGAACAGCCTGCTGGCTCTCTCCTCCCTGAATTTCTCACCTTCTGTTCTTGGCATCCTCACCTCACCCTCCAACTGCCCCAGAACCTGGTGAGAAGACCATCATCTCTGCTCCTCCGGGAGGCAGCAGAGAATGAGAAGTGAAAAAGTGAAGGGGGCGGGGCAGTAGGAAGAAGCAGACTTGTGAGATATTCTCCTCTGCTGAGAAAGGAGACTCGGTGCCAGGGCCTCAGGTAGGGAGAGGATGGGGCATCCTCAAGATGGGCCCCTTTATCCAGGCTCAGCCCTCAGAGCTGGGCTGCTTCCCCTTGCCAGTCTCCTCCCCACTACCCCACCCCCAGCCCTCTTAACCTAATTTGTCCCTCTTCAGAGACAAATTCACAGACCACCTCCTTCTCCCATATGTCTAATGCTTGCACATCCAAAATTTCACCCTATAGAGAATTATACAATTGCAAGTAGGTTTTTTCAATTTTTATGATGAAGGAACCCTGTCTCAGAGTTTGGTTCCCAAGCTGGTGTTCACATCCCTCATCCATGGGGACCAGCCTATTGCAGCCTTCCTGCCTGCCCCCATTGGTCCCCTAGGCCTTCCCACCCCTGAGGACACCACTCCTAGGGTGGAGATCATCTGCTGCTCCCTCCTGGGTTGTGACATTTTGACAGTGGAGGGCTCACAGAGCAACAGGGAAGAGCGTTTGTGGAGAAGAGTTTTATGCAATGGTGGGAATATTCTCCGTCTTTTGTGTCCAGTACAGGAGTCTCTCGCTACATGTGGCTACTGAGCCCTTGAAATGCGGTGAGTGCGAAGGAGAACCTCAACTTTCACATTTTATTTTATGTCTATTTACATTTTACAACCACATAACGGTTAGTGACTACCATATTAGACAGTGCACTTCTAGAATTTTCAAGACTCAAAGCCCCTGAAGGTCTGCGCAGTCACTTGTCACACTCTGTCCCCACCCCCGGAAGCCCCAATACCTGCTGAGTTTTGAGGGACCTCTCGCCTCGCTGAATGACCCGGACCCGCAGTGAGACGTTCATCCTTACCCCGTCGCTGGCGCCAGAGAGCCTCCCGTCCCTCGCCCCTCCTCGACCGCCAGGGGCCGCTGTGTCCGGCTGCGCCCGCCGGACCGAGCGCTGCGCACGGTGTCCCGCGCTGTCCGGAGGAGGCGGTGGCGCTCGCGCGGGGCTGGCGGACGGCGGCAGCGACTGCGCGCTCCCGGGCCTGCGGGCGGGAGCCTCGGAGGGACCCCGGCTGAGCTCTGCCGAGCTAGCCAGGCGGGCCCGGAGCTGCCCCGCTGCGCAGAGCGGGGCCCGACATGACCGCGATGCCAATTTGGCCAGAGCCCCGCCGCCTCGGGGACGCAGTAACTTGGTGAGGGGCACAGAGCTGCGGACTAGATTGCCCCTGTGCTGGCCGCTCCCGCCAGAGGTCGCCTGTCGGAGCCTTGGTCCGGCCCAGGGGCGAGGACGACCCCAGGCCGGCGGGTGGGACGTGTGGAAACGCCGTAGGACAGGTAGGTCCCGGGGCGGGGGGAGCGGGGGCGTGCTCAGAATTTGGAGTGGAAGCGGGGGAAGGCAGGGTACAGGTTAAAGGTTCTTGTGGTTCACATCCTCAGCCCCGTATTGGGGGCCCTACAGCTCTCTGAGCCCCAGAGGCTCCTACTACTACTTAGCCTCACTGTAGCCTGGGTTGGTTGGGGGAAAACAGGTTGGGAAACGGAGGCAGGAGTGTGGAAGCTGGAGAACAAATCCCAAAAGCTTCTTTCCGCAGCTCTCTCTGACGGAGGGAACAGAATGCTAGAAAACCCAGCCTAAATGTCCCCCACAGGTCTTTTGGGTCTTGGGGTTCATGGGAAAGTTGAGTTGGAGGGCGTGGCTCTCAGAGAGCAATGAGATGGGGGAGACGAAGCTGCATTTATGCTGATGAAACTGAAGGTTCTCGGAGGGAAGAGGAGGTGCCCAGGCAGAGGAGAGGTCCGGCTGCAAGGGTGGCGAGCTGTCTGCCCACAGAGCCACCGCTTCCAGGGGCAGCGCCCCGCTTCCGCCCTCCGCCCCCTTGGTTTTTTCTGGCTTCCTACTCCAGGGACCTAGGACACGAGGTCTGGGCTCTTCTCGGGCCGCATCATCCTACCCGTTCTGGTCTACCTGCTTGGGGAGGCTGAGGTAGGAGAGGTCTTAGAAAGAAATGGAGAAGCTGTTAGGCCTGGCACCTATGGAGCTCAGTGAGCTGGAGCACCCGCCCCCCCCCCGCCCCGTCCTAGCCCCCCCGGGGTGGAATCGGGGTGAGGATGGCCGAGTTGAGCCTTCTTTACGCAAGTCCAGGAAGCAGGTGTTAAGCGCGTAGCAGGTGGGTGGAGGCAAAGAGGATTCGGGCCTCAGGGGTCTGTCCCAGGTGCCCATCCTGACAGGCTCTGCTCAGGATCCCTGGCCTTCGGCTCCCTCCCAAGGCCAGATGGGTGACAGACGGTGTTGGTTCTTAGATGCCTCCTACCATCAGGGACAGAGAAACTCCCTCAGCTGCTCCTTCCAGGCTCACCGCCCTGCATGTTCCCAGCGTCTGCAGGGACCCCTGCAAGGACCCCTGCAAGTTCCCAGGGCAGAGCAGAGACTGTCCCCCGCCCTGGACCTTGGAGAACAGCCTCCAAGTTGGGCTCTGCGTCAGCGCTCAGCCCACCCCTTTGCCCTCACCCTAACCCCCCTGTATGCCCTGCTCCCTCTGTCCCTTGCAGCCCCCCACGAATCTTTCCTACTTGTCTAGGTAGAGTGAGTCTGAGGCCGGTGGATGAACAGACAGAAGCTGAAAGATCCCCCAAGAGGTGAGTGAGGAGACCGTTGAAGATGGGGAGAAGGGGAGTGGCCAGAGACCCTGCACCTACCCAAGGGAACAGCCAGGTCCTGGCATTTGGCTTGGCCACTGGGGTGCCCAGCGCTGTGCTGGCACCTGGGGGAGCCCAGCGATGCCCCAGGGCAGCTCCCCGCTGCTCTGTGCCTCTGCTCCAGGGGTCCCTCCATCTCTACCCCATTCTCTGGGAGAGCTCTGGGAGAGCCGAACCACTGAGGATGGAGCAGGAGAAGCGGGGGAGGGCATCGGGAATGGGGCCGACTTTGGAACTCTGCCACCCACACGCTGCCTGGCCTTGGGCAGGTCGTTTGACTTCTGTTAGCCTCGGTTTCATTTCTTCCCTTTTAAATTTAAATTTGTTTAAATTGAATTGGTAGGACATTCCCACGGCTCAAAACCCAAAATGGAAAAGAGCAACAGGGACAAAAATAATTCTCTCTCTACCTTTTTATCTCCCAGCCAACCATTTCCCCTTCTTGGTGGCAACCTATGTTATTAGGATATTTTTGTACCCTTCCAGAGCGAGCTTATACATATTTGAACAACACATATAATCCCTCCCTTTTACACATTTTATGATCTTTTTTCTTTGACCCTCACCCGAGGGTATTTTTTTTTATTTTTAAAATAACAGCTTTATGAAGATACAATTTACATACTCTACAGTTGATTCATTTTAAGTATACAACGAAATGTTTTGTATATTCAGAGAGTTGTGCAACCACCACCAAGAATATATTTTGAAATTGATTTTAGAGAGAGAGGAAGGGAGGGGGCAGGGAGAAAGAAACATTGATGTGAGAGAGGAACATGGATCAGTTGTCTCCTGTATGCACTCCCGACTGAGGATCAAACCTGCAACATAGGTATGTGCCCTGACCCAGGACCGAACCCAGAACCTTTTGTGTACAGGATGATGCTTCAACCAACTGAGCCACCTGGCCAGGGCCAGGGCTATGCATTTTTTAAATATCATCCTGCACTTTGCTCCCCACCCACGTAATCATGGGTCATTGTCGGAGATCATTGCATGCCTTGGCACGTAAAGTGTCTCCTCATTCTTTCTTACAGATGTTTGGATGGTATCACATTTGTACGGATGCTCCCAATATATTTAGCAAGTCCTTGATTAATGGTTCCTTAGGTTGTGGCCGGGCTCCTTAAGTATCACTTTGCTCATCTGTACAATAGGTACAAATAATTCTACTTTGTAGGATAGCCATGAAGGATTCAAGGCCTTGTTTGCAAACTGCCTGAGTCAAGTGCTCCAAAAATGGGAGTCAGCATTATTGTCCCTCCTATGTCACAGCCATCCATGGGACTGTGCCTGGTTCCTTCTTCAAGACCCCTCCTAAGTGTCATCTCCACAAAGTCTTACGGTGTGAAGGTCTCCGTTCCTGCTTTCTTTCCTGCTAGCAAAGCACTCACTACTTTCTGCAGTGAGTTTGGGCCAGGCTGAGAGCTGCCTGGGGGCAAAGTGTGTGCCCTTCCCCACTCTGTGCCTCGCAGGCACATGGCAGAGAGGCACTGGGGCTGGGCCCTGAGGGGGCTCCTGTGTGGCTTCGAGCAAGGGGTGCGCCTCTCTGCAGGATGCGTGAGAGCGCCGCGTGGAACTGGAGCACGAGCGGCTGGCTGCTGGCGCTCTGCCTCGCCTGGCTGTGGACCCTCCTGGCCTCGGCTTCCTTGCAGCCTCCGACCCCCACAGGTTTGCAGGAGGTGGCGGGGCCTGGGGAGCTGGACACCCCCATCCCATTCCACAGCAGGCAGATCCCCAAGGCGGAGTCAGACCCCTAGATCCCAGGGGTTCTGGCTGCTCCTCTCTTCGTCACCTGGGAAACTCTTCCCCCTCTGCCCTCCCAGCCCTGAGAAGGGGTGGGCACCTTCTCACCTTCCCTTTTGGCCCTAGAAGGTGTTCTGCAAGGGGCGAGTTCCTCCTCCCCCCACCACCCGCCCAGCAGGCTTAAGTCTAGCCTCCCGGCCTAATTCTGCGGTTTTCCTTCTGGGTTGGCTGAAGCCTGTGTAAGCGGATGATCTTTCCCACGCACTGTAAGCCCCAGGGCCCTTGCCCTCCTGGAGGAGGAGGCTGGGAGGTGTGGGTTGGCGTGGGACTTCATCTTGCTCCTGCCCCAGGACCAGGCTCTGCCAAAGGGCGCTGAGTGTGGCCTCGCTAGGGAACAGTGTGGCCTTTCACTGAAGCAGCAGGATTTCCTGTTTTCTCCTCCCCTAAGCTGGGAGGAGGGGCTGGAGGAAAGCTGGGCCGGGAGGTGGGGGGGGGGGGAGCAGGGTCGCAGGCCCCAGCAGGTGCCTGATTCTGTGCTGGCCCCTGCAGTCCCCGTGAAGCAGGGCACCTGCGAGGTGACAGCTTCCCATCGCTGCTGCAACCGGAACCGCGTTGAGGAACGCTCCCAGACTGTCAAGTGCTCCTGCTCCTCCGGCCAGGTGGCTGGCACCACCCGGGCAAAGCCCTCCTGTGTGGATGGTGAGTGGGAGGCCGGGACCCGGCGGGGAGGGCCTGATCAGAGAGATAAGAAGGTCTGTCTCGGCCTTGCCATCTGCTGAGGATACAATTTCCTACCATCTCAGGGCCTCCGTGTCCGGTCTCAAATAATGGGGCAACCTCTGGGGGAGGGCAGGCGTGACCACCGCATCTCATAGAGGAGGGAAGCACTCGGCCGCCCTCTAGCAGCACCCCCTGCCTGGCAGGCACACGGGGGTGTCCCTTACACAGAACCTGTCATACCGCTTGTCACAGTTGCTCCTGCAGACCTGGCCTTCTGCTCTTACCCTCCTTCCCAGGCCTCCTCCACGAGCCCTCCTCTCGTCCTCAGGCCGGCCTCTGCCCCCCGTCACAGGGCACGTGTGAGTCCCTGGTCCGTGCCTCACTCCACCTCCACGCACTTTCTCACGGCACCCCGACTCCTTTTCTCACGCTCATGTGACGGCGCTGTAAGCGACCTGTGTCCGTGCGCGCTCCTGCTCTGTGGACCCCCCTCCAAGTGGCTCGCACACTTGCTCACATACACCCAAGGGTCTGTTGGGACCGTGCCTCTCTGCCAATGACATGGCAACTCAACTCGAGGGTTGTTGTAGACACGCTGTCCCCGGCCTTCACCCTATGCTGTCGTTGGTGAGACTCAGGGGTCAGTGGGATTGAGGTGGATATGGCTGGGTACCCAGGCCTTTTGGGGCAGCCTGAGCAGGGGAAAGACAGGGCAATGCAGGGCTTTGAGACGCTAGGGATGTGTGGAAACGTGCACTTAATTCGGCACAGACCGTGCCTTGGCTGCTCGCTGTGCTCCCAGAGAGCTTGGCGCCGCCCTCATTGCCATCTGCCCCCACAGCCTCCATCGTCCTGCAGAGGTGGTGGTGCCAGATGGAGCCCTGCCTGCCCGGGGAGGAGTGCAAGGTGCTCCCGGACCTGTCGGGATGGAGCTGCAGCCGTGGACACAGGGTCAAAACCACCAAGGTACCCGGAGGGGGGACACTTCATCTCCCTCCTGCTCCCCCTTCACCTGGGATAGAAAAGGGCGCTCAGGAGCCCTGGGTGGTGTCAGTGTCCTGAGGGGAGACCTGCGAACCGTGTGGGTACATCTCTGGGCAGCGCCCCCAAGCCTGTCTTGGCTCTGGGGACTGGAGCTGGGGCCCCTGGATTTGAAATGCGGTGTGTCCTTCCGGGCAAATTTCCTGATGCTTCAGATGCCTGAGTTTCCTCCCCTGCCTGGAGTGAGTTTGCCTCCTGGAAAATATCATGTCCAATAGAACAAAGTAGAGAATTGAGGCAATTATCTAGATAGTTCAGAGGGGACTCTAGTAGCCACTCTGCCTACGCACGCCTGCCACAGACCCCGCCCCACACTCCCAGGATTCCCAGCTCCCTGCACCTCACACATGCCTTCCTCTAACCAAACTGCCTGTCCCGGGAGAATTCATGGTTTGCTGCCTGCCCCGCAGAACAAGGGGTAATTAAAATTTTATCAAATTTGTCAGCAAGTCCATGTGTGTCACGGATAATTAGTTGCATAGCTCTGTCATGGCCATTTGTACAAATGATGTTACCGTGGGGCAAGCCAGAGCTCTGCTTCTGCCTTCCCTGGCCACTGCCACACACAGCAGCTGAGCAAACAAACAAACAAAAAGACAGAAAGGCCGCCTTCGGGGTTCTGAAGAGAGCAACACAGAGATGGTGACATTTGTCACTATTTTATAGGTTTGGGTTTGTAGGCTGCTGATCACTGCGCTTGCAATTTTGGTAGCTAACCTGAAGCATGTCGCGGCGAGACGTGCCTGATTTATGTTTGCGCGGGCCACCTGGCCATGTGTTCCCCGCCTGGACTTTACAGGGGGAAGGGATGGTGGCAATGACCTCTACATGACCTGCGCATCTTTGGGGTATCCGTTCCCTTCTTTAACCTCCTCCCCACCCGCCCCTGCTTGTTCTCTAGGTGACACGATAGCTCTTGGGGTCACGGCATGGGCAGGACAGCTTGACCGATCTGTGGACTGAAGCACGGTATCCAGTTATCAGCCAGCAAATTTGGAGGTTCACTTACCTGGACACACGCCCCGTGCCACATGCAGTGTCACTTTTTCCAGGGGCATTTCGGTTGAGCTACTGAACGGATGTGAACGGCTCCCCAGCCACATACCTAGTGTTGTGCTGGGCTCTTCCGGGGGACACGGAAGGAGGTCAAGATACAATACCTGCCCTCAAGGAATGGCCCGTCAAGCTGAAGAGCTGACAAAAGGCAATTTAGATAATTTAGATTAAAGTGTGTGGTACCAGACTGTGGCTTCTGGGCCATGGGCTGTGGGCATGTTGGAGGTTTGGGGATGAAACCCCCACAGCTCTTTCAGCCACCCCCTGGCCACGGGGCACAGAAACAAGAGGTCGCATTCACCCCCACCACTTGCCTCCCTCACGTAAGTCCAGATCCCCAGCAAGCCGCAGTATGTTGAAGGAAGACACTTACCCCCATGCCAGACAGGCTGTACATCCTTTGGCTGGACTTGGGGAAAGAAGGCAGAGAGGGAGCCAAATTCGCCAGGGAAGCTTCTGCAGAGATGTCTGCTGGTTTGGGTGGTTTGTTGGGTAGAGGATGGACAGGACCTTAAAATCACTGCCATCCAAGCACCTTGAATTTTTGTTTGCTTGTTTGAACAGACGGGGACAAGTCCCAGAGAGAAGAGGTGACTTGCCCAAGGCTTCACAGCTTGGGCCTCCATCTCTCTAAGACTACTGATCTTCCAGTTTGGCCAGGAAGTGGGAGCCCAACCTGGGTCTTCCACGTTGCTTTTATCTCAAGAACAGGAACCTCTAGATAACGGGCTGGATAGCCGCAACATTTTTCTCGGGAGATCCTGTGGCAGGAACTTTTCCCGAACCTTTTCCCAAGGTCCCCGTTCTCCTATCTGAAGTAATCCTGAATGCCTACACACCAGGATGTGGGGACACTGGATCTCCATTCTGCCCTCAGGTCCAAAAACTCCAGACAGGCCCCATGGCAGCCCAGAGGCCACCCAGCCCAGTGACAGCCGGGACACTCTGAGCTGGCAGCCCCATTGCCTGCCCTGACCCATCCCTTGCAGAATCCTGTGGCTGTAACTCTCAGAGACCCTGGCGCTAAGAGAGGGTCTGGGTGGGGTCCGGGCTGGTCAGCCCTTCAGAGGTCCTCAAAGGTCCTGCTGGGCTGGGTGGAACCTCTGGCCGGGGTTGAGGGGTGGCCCAGTCAGGGTATCTCATCAGTAAGAGAACCGCAGCCTCAGTGACAGCTGGGATCAGCTGGGATGGCCAGGACTGCAGAGTGGGGGCGGGGGGCCTGCGGGAAGGGTGTCTGTGAGTTTAGTCTGGACAACGCTGAATTCTAACCCTCAGTCTAAGGGCTGGGGGCTGAGTCTCAGGCCCTGCCTACTTCCCTCCCTCCCTCCCACCCCGTTCAGTAGAACCAAAACTGTTCACCCCCCTCCAAGGCTTCTCTTCTAGTTTTCGGTTTGTTTTGTTTGGCATAATAAGATGAACAAAGACGCCGGCCTCTCACTGGACTGTAGCTGTCAGACCTCTGACAACTGGGAATCAACATAGTGGGTGGGATGGTCAAGGAGCAGGTCAAATGTTCTCATCACCCTCAAGGCTGGGGGGTGGTTTATGGGGTTAGCATACTTTCTAGAAAGGGCCAGATGGTAAATATTTTAGGCTTCACAGGACACATACCGTCTCTTTGGTGTATTTTCCTTTGGTGTTGTCTGTTGTTGTTGTTGTTGTTTTTTTTTTTTTTAAACTTTTAAAAATGTAAAAGCTATTCTTAGCTCAAGGGCTATACACAACCAGGCCCCAAGCTGCTTTGGGAAGGTTGCCAACCCCAGTGAACCTTTGAAGGCAGCCATCCCTCATGTCAGCAGCTTAGGGCTGCTTCCCGGCCTCCTGGCCCGCCTCCCATGCAGTGGGAACCTGAGTGTGAGGTCTGGGTCAGGTTTTGTTTTTCTCCTAATGCTCCTTGAGAGATCGGTGAGTGAATTATTTAGGCTACTAATGAGGCAGCTTTAGCAGAGTCATAGAATAAGAGCCCGCCCTCCTGGAGGCCAGGATACGGGCTTCTCCCCTTCCCTGCCCCTGGAGACTGGGCTGGGAGGGACAGAGAGGGCTCCAGCCCCCTGCCCGCCCACTGTGCCCACCAGCTGCGGGGCTCTGAGCTGGGGGAAGAGCCTGAGGATGGGGATGCTGCTGTACCAGCTCCACGCCCCTGCGCTGCCAACCACTGCCAGCCCCTGCCTGATCGAAGTCCAAGCTCCCTCACCTCTGCCCTTCTCTCATCCCTGCTTACAGAGACCACTTTCCTTTGGCAAATGCTGAAATTTGCCAGTTCATTTTTTAACCTCTCAAAACCTCCATTTCCTCCTGACCTACCCTGGTGGGCTTTGAGGGGCGTTCTTTACGTGGCCAGGAGAGTGAGCCCCACATAGCAGGGTCTGGTGGAGAAGGGAAAACACCCCATCTCCCAACCGTAGCTCCCTACGGTCCTGTTTCCAACTAAGTCAATATTTGTGCACATTTTATAGCTACTTCAATGGCGGTTTAGGAATGCTAATTAATTTTCTGAGCACAGGCGTCCTGGAGTCTTCTGTCTTCTCCCCTTAGTGGGATGGGATCTCAGGTTCCCCAGAGTTAGCTTGTGTCCCCACCCGCTCCTTAGGAAGGTTGCCAACTATAGGCGATCATGTGGCTAATTTCTGTGACCTCCTGGCAGTCTCATTAGTCTGTGAGTGACATCCTAATTAATGGCCCAGGCAGTTGCCTAAAGTTGAGGCTGCAATTTCCTCAGATCAGAAGCTTAGAGATAGAGGGGATGTTAGAGATCAGTTAGCCAACTCCCTCATTAGACAGACGAGGAGAGGGAGGCTCAGAGAGGTTAGATGATCTGCTCAAAGTCACACAGCAAGCTGGTGGCATTTCCTGCCCAGTGATCCAGACACGTGCTCTTTGTACGACCACACGTTACCTCCTCTCTCCAGTGCCGATGAGGAGGCTGAAAGAAGCCAGGATTTCAGCAAGGATGGGTGTGAGAGTCTCATTCCCAAACTACTCAACTCTGAGTGCAAGGGGACAGAACAAGAAGAATGGAAAGGATTTACAGATACAGACACAGAAAGAGGGCAGTGGGGACAAAAAGAAGAGATTGAGATCACTCATTCAGAACATCAAACACAAAAGCATAGCACAAAATAATTAGGACAAAATTGATGCCACATCCAAAGTGGTCGATTTTTGTCCTTTTGGAGGAGACAGAAGAGAGCCCCTACCAACCTTTGGAAGACCTGGGAAGCCAGCCTCAATGGCTTCTGGGTTCTTTAGACCCTAGTGTGGAGGTCTGCAAACTAAGACCCATGGACCAAATCCAACACATGGCTTTGTAAATAAAGTTTTATTGGAACATTACTGTGCTCATCTGTTTATTATTCTCTATGACCACTTTCCTGTTAGAAGAGCAGAGCTGACTCATTGCAAAGAGACCCCGTGGCCCACAAGGCCTAAAATATTTATCACTGGACCATTTATAGAAAACTTTGGCCAACCTCTGCCCTGGCATTTTAATTGAATCTTTCTCAGTACATCCATATAGCCTGGAAAATGATGACTCTTCTATTTCTCAGTTTGGGGGTTTTTTTTGTTTGTTTGTTTGTTTTGTTTTGTTTTTTAGGCTCTGCCTGTGTCCCCTTTAGTCCCTTCCAGTGCCCTTTGTGAGCTCTCACAACCAAAGAAATGAAGACATAACGATCAAGGCGAGGCCAAGAGGAAGACTCGCAGATGAGTGCTTCCCTGATATGTTGTTACACCCCAGGTCAGCCCAGGTTTTATTTCCCAAGTTCATATAACTGTGACTTTTAAACTTAAAGTACCTGCGTGTGCGCCCACGTGTGGGGAGGTACTGATGGGCGCTCGTATGCTGCTGGCATTTCTGTGCATCGGGGGGGTTCGAGTATCTGCACGCCCATAAGCAAGGCTGATGTTAAAACTACATGACTAGTTCAGTACAGTGACTGACTAATCAAGACAGATGCCAGCCCGTACGCAGACCAGGGCACCCTGGCTGCACAAAGCCCAGCACGTTCCTGCCCACCCGCTGTGGCTGAGAGTCACTCCAGGGCAGGCGAAGGAAACCCATTTTCCCCTTCTCTGAGTGCTTCGGAGTTTCTTGTTCCTGACTTTCCTGGGCTTGTGAGTTGTCACTGAGTGTGGGCCTGGGTACGTGCATGGGCACAGAAGCTACTGGACTCAGATGGCTGCAAACTTTGTGTTTGGAAAAGGCACATAGACTGGGCATAAGGAGCATGGGGCAACATCCTCTCAAGCCTTGCATAAGGTTACAAACTGCCCTTCCGTCTAGCTTAGGGGAAGAGGGCCCGGCCATTTTCAAAGGCTGTATTGACCTACATGCTAGGTGATTGGCAATAGTACCATCACTTCTATTAGTGAACGTCTACCATGTGTCAAGCACCATACTAGACTCTATACAGGTGACAGTAGGTTAAATGGGAGTCTTCCCATCTCAAACTTTGGAGAGAGGCCCCCAAAGGTCAGGAGAAGAAAGATAGGTATCAACTATTCTCAACTATTCCCGTATACTGAGTTGAGATGCTAGACTATTTCTACAGATTTGTAAAAAGGAATGGTCGGTAATAGTCAATGCCCACCTCTAGACTGTGTAAGGTAGGCCTGAGAATTCAGGCTGAAAAGCAGGTGATATTGAAGAGCTGTCTGAAGGCCCCTCTTTTTCCTCCCTCAGCCAAAGTCAAGGTGTAGGTGTTGATTCTTTCTTACTCTAAACCACTTACGAGGGGAATTGCAGAGAAGAACTCTAACAGCTTGACTTGATTGTAAAGCAGGGTCAGAAGGCAAGTGGCTGTGGTTGGCTTGCAGGCCTGGAGAGTGAGTCTTGAGAACCTTCTTGGGAGCAAGCTACAGCTGCAGAGCTTAGCAGAATGTGGATGTTTGTACGTTTTCCAAGGGCCAGATGTGGACTGTCCAAGAGGGCTGCCTGGATGGGTGACCCCAGGTGGGGAAAGCCTGCCGGAAGCCATTGCTGATAAGAGGCCATCATAAGGGGCCAGTGGAAGGAGAGATCACCCATATCACGGGACCTCTGAAGTCGGAGAGTCCCAGCAACAGGTCATCTTCCAAATCAGTGACCAATGTATAGCGCTGTTTCTCCCGTAGCTCAGGTTCACGGGCAGGAAAATCGGGGGTTGGAATGGGGCTGGCTCTGCTCCTTGTTTCTCCTCCTGACCCACTAAGGGAATGCTTGCTTCCCAGACCCATGACTTCGGGCTCTTCTGTTTCAGAAAACAATTTATCTGCCTAGGTTAATTCTGTGTTGGTAAAATATGTTAATATAGATATCTTTCAGTGACTGCCTTAGGTGAGGTATTTGCTGAAAACAAAGGGAATATGGAATGAATAATAGAGAAGGAAGTTGAAAATACTAGCTTGACCAGTTATAGAAGTGAACACTGTAGTATTTCTTCCTTATATTAATATGAATATATTAATTTACATATTAAATAATTATTTTCTTCCCTTTTTCCACCATGAAAGTGACCAGAACTATTAATTATCTGAAAGCAATCAGAAAAATATGGAGAAGCTGTAAATTTTTTACCCTGAACCACAAAAAATTGTCCACATGTTGAGGTCCAAGGTAAAGAAAGGTATGATAAAGAATACAAGTGTTTCCTGCATGAGGTCTACCATCTTATTTTAATTCAGTAAGTTGGTTTCACATATCTTGAATTATTTATTCTCCTCAAGACCCAGTGAGATAAGTATTATTAACAGCAGTTTATGCAGATACTCAGAAAGGAAAAAAAAAGTCAGGGCCTTCAAAAGCTGTCTCACTGGTTCAGGACCAGGAGAAAGCACATAGGAAGGAAGAAATAAGAAGCAGACATTTTTAATGTAAAATGTTTCCTTTTCATAACAATTCCATAAGGTAAGTATTACTCTTCTGATTTTACAGACAAGGAATCAAAGACTCAGAGAGGTTAGGTAATTTGCCAAAGATCACACAGCAAAAAAAGCAGATGAACCGGAGTTTGAATTCAGGCCTGCTCAGCTCAAAAGCTGATACCCTTCACCACACACAGGGGCTGTATCTTGGCCATCTCCTCCGGGACTGAGCTTCCCAGAGTCCAAATACTTTATAACTAGTGCTTAGGGAAGTTGGGATGGGCAAGAGGGTGGCCTGGTAATAAGTGCAGTGATAAAGGTACATCCTCTGTGCTACAGGAGAACCTATTTAGAAAAGAAATGGAATCCAGCATGGGAAAACCATCCTGAGTCCAAGTCTTTAGCATCGAGTGGGAATCAGCCAGGTAAAGTGTGTGTGGGGCCCCAGCTGGCGTGGCTCAGTGGATTGAGTGCTGGCCTGCAAACCACAGGGTCTCTGGTTGGATTCCCAGTCAGGGCACATGCCTGGGTTATAGGCCAGGTCCCTGACAGGGGGCACATGAGAGGCAACCACACACTGATGTTTCTCTTTCTCCCTCCCTTCCCCTCTCTCTAAAAATAAACAAATGAAATCTTTTTTTTTAAAGTGTGCGTGTGTGTGTGTGTGTGTGTGTTGGGAGAAACTGAGAGTAAAGTCTGAGTAGGAAAAAAACATTTGCGAAGGGGGAAGGCTTGTGATAAATTCAAGGAAGCAGTTAGCTGTGGCTGGAATACAAGAGGTAAGGACAGATGGTAAGAGATGAGGCTGAAAGTTGGTCAATGGTGAGCTAAGAAAGAAGCTGGACGCCATGTGGTTTGAGTTCTACCTCAAGACAAAGGAGAACCTTGCAGAGGCTAACCACCGGGGCTGGTTGTGGCATTAGAGACAGGGTGGTGTTGACCCCAAGAAACAAAATACCTACTAAGAACTCCTTGTGATTAACTGGGCCCAAATAATGGAGAGTCTGGCAGCCGCAGGGACCTCTCACTCACATAAACTGCATTTCAGTGGGGGAGGGGGCAGGGGTTGACGACCCACAGGCAGAGCTGCCAAACCTCCTCCTGCCCGGTGCTCCTGCCTGCTGAACCTAACCTTATTAAGGAGTTCCTGGAATCATATTTTCACCAATGGGCAGAAATCTGATAAGAGCAGCACAGCTATATTCTCATTTGCATATTTAGTGACCAATTAGAACATGTGATTCTAACCAATCAGGATAGTACAATTTGGACCAAACAGTGCATATTTGTATTCCTTATTTGCATAGAAAGGGACCAATCAGGGACCAGAGCAGGCACTTTCTCTCTATAAGCAGACCTGCTCTTCACCTGAGGACGTACACTTTCAGGGTCCTCTGGACCCTGCATTTCCAAAGTTTGCAAATTGTTTACCTGAATAAAGTGTCTCCTTTTACCACACCCCAGACTGGGGTCCCTGTTGGCATTAGATTGGTGGCAGCGACCTTTTTGTTGACAGCTGTAAGGCCAGGTGACAGGATGGATTTGCAGACAGGAAAACCAGTTAGAAATTTTGGCAATGGTCCAGGTAAGAAATAATAAAACCTTAAACCAAAAGCAATGGTTGCCTGAGGGTGCAGAATGCAGAGGAAGGAAGATGGTATTTTCAAGCTCTGAGATGTCTCCATTCCCTCATAGATGCTACTTTTTCCTCTCCCACGATCACAGAAGTTTGCGTGCCAGCGCTGACCCCTCCATGCACTCGGGGATGACTGCCTCTGCGCTGTTCCAAAGGCACTAAAAGCCCAGCGTCCAAACGTGCTACCTTCTCCGGGGTCCTTAACTCTCTCCCCTGGGTTCCCTTTGTTGGCAATACTCACACAAAAGCAAACATTTCCTGAGCACTTGCTGGTGCTCTTGGTTAATGCTGTTGTAAGGGGCCGCCATTCAAAAACTTAGCTAATTTCAAGGAAAGCCTGGGAAACGAGTTTGGATACTGAACGTGGCAATTCCAGGGGACCAGATGCCCAGGAATTCCTGGGAGAGAGGAGGCCACATGCCTAGGAGAAGGGCTGCTGGGATTAGTCGGGGAGTCCCGCCCTAAATAATCCCTGCCCTTGTTTCCCAGCAGGTTTGGGGCGCTGGTCTTCCCTTTCACTCTGGCGAAGGTCAAGTTTCTCTTTCGCTTCCCTTTCTGCGGTTGGATTCCCAGAGCCACCTTCACGTTTTCCGACCAGAGCCGGGGGGCAGCAGAGGAGGCCTGTAATGGAACATCTCCTTGGATGGGTTTTCCACGAGGGTTGGGAGGTGGATGCTGAAAAGCTGTTGGCAGCTGGCCAAGCTTCTCCTGGTCGAGGCAGCCCTGGGCTCCTCAGAGCTCCCCCAAATTTCAGGAGCAGCACGAGCTGCTCCATCCCACCTTGCACGGTGTCTAAGCGCTCCCTCTTTAAGGACTGAGCCAAGGGGCATCACTGGCCCACGGGAC